GAAAAGAGAGAGATCTTGGACTAGAAGCGAGCCCACAGTTAATTTCGCACTCTCCAAACCACCTTTTGTAGACATCACAATCGAGATAAGATTCGAGTGGACCCGCACAAGATCCACAGTCACAACTTTCTACCGCCTTGCAAAAGATGTCTGCAGTAAGTGGGAAAACGGACAAGCAAAGGGTGAGCTTACTGCATATTCCAATTTGTTGTCTGCATTCGCCAAAAGGCAAGTGCATGGTGCCTGATGATGCAGCGAGCTCTGCTCACCTTGCACAACGCCACAATCAGTTACATCCTCAGGGATGCTATTGGATGCCTGCAATCGACAATCATCGCACGATCCTCTAGTTTCTTCATCCAGATCATTCAAGACGCATTCCTTGTAAGCATCAAAATGCTCGGGACACAAGGGGCCCTCTGGCGTAGTTGACTTTTCGGTGAAGCATTCAATCCCGCAGGTCCCGTTGCTGGTGTTGACGGTCGTGCATTGCCAAAAGTTTTCAAGCTCATCTTGGCAATTTTGACAACCACATGTATGAACTGCTTGGCACAGATTAGCCTCCGTTTCTTCACAGTTTTCATTACGATCGGGCAAGTCGTCGAATGTTGCAATTCGACAAGAGTCACAGGCTTTGCCGACGTCTGGGTCTAGACGGAAAACACAGTTGGCGTACAGCTCCTTCTCGGCATTGCACAACTGATTGCTGTTTGCGGCGACGGGGGCAACCAGGATTGCTGCGGAAGAAATTGCCAAGACGAAGATCCAACTCAAGCGGGCGCTGGCAGTCCTCCTTTCTCGTTGCTGCTTGAGCGTCATTGTTCTAAATTATTGAAATGGTTGCTGTGGTATGCGACGGAGAACTTTTGGTCAATTTTTTTTTGCCCTGCAGCAAACGGTGAATGATTCAATCAAAATGCCAATCAGAGAGATTCTCTCTCTTACTTTTGCGCTCTTCCAAGCCTTTGCGGTGGACCTAGCTACGGTACCAGGTAGCTGTTGGACTCTTCCCTCCATTTTCTTTTGCGTCCAAATCGAAAACGATCCGTTGGATCTTGTACCAGGAAATTAATCACTCCCGCAGAGGCGAGGAACGGGTTCCTCATCATCACACTTTTCCTGTGACGTACAGTACGGTATGTCATTGAGCACCTGTGCTGGTACCATACATACACAAGCACTATTATTAATATTATTATTATATTTGTAATATTATTGTTATCACAAGTCAGTCGCAACTTGCACCTGCCTGCCAAGTCTCCACTACAATACTGTAAGCAGCTCCAAATCAGACGAGCAGGGTTCCAAATCGAGTTACTAGTAGTTGGTCTGTGCGGGTTGCTGCAGATTGCTTCGCTGGGCTTGAGGCTTCCAAAGTACCAGGTACAGAAATAATGACCAGACCGAGGAGAACAACTAATACCCCGCAATGCCACAGTCGACACGGATTGCTGGCTTGTCTGGGAACAATGGCAGTTCTTTGTTCCTTTTTGACACTGTTCGAAGTCCATGTAGATGTCCATTTGATCAGTCGACAAGATGCCGTAGATGTCCTATTGACGAGTCCACAAGCTGCCGTCTTGCCACAAAGCGCCATCGTACCAGCAAAATCTGCCATCTTACCATCGCAAGCTGTCATCGTGCCACAAGTTGCCGTCGTGCAACCAACCAACGTTATCTCATCATCAGTATTCAAAGACGACACGCCAAAAGACTGCCTTCAATATGGAACAACGAGCCTGTCATCTACCGCTGCCAATGGCAAGTTGGTGATTGACAGCAAAGCCATCAGGGCACAATCAAAGGACAAGCTAGATCAACTCAAACAATTCACAGAACCAAGCTATGAACAGTACATGATGGCCAATCCAGGTCAAGAACATTACACACTTTGGCACTATCTCACTCAAACCTATCACAAGGATTGTCGACATGTGGTCGATATTGGAACAAGATATGCAGCCTCAGCACTGGCGCTTGGTGCTGCTGGAACAAAGGTCCGAACCTTTGATATCCCCAATGGCAATGAACGCTTCCAAGCATTTCGAGGCAAGTCAGAACAAGAGTGGAAACAACAGCTGCAAGAACATCATGGAGTGCATATTGAGTTTTTCAATCTTGACCTATTGAAAATACCCGATGAAGAATTCTTGCAGCACATGGCCACCTGGCTCATCATATTGGATACAGCCCATGAACCTGATTCAAATCCCTTTGAAAGAGAGTTTCTGCACCGGCTCGTTCATTTGCCCAAACCCTACAAGGGATTGGTACTATTGGATGATATCAATCTTAATGATGAAATGAAACGATGGTGGAAGGAAGTCAGCGACAACGCTTACCAAGGGGGATACCGTGTTCACGATTTGACATCTGTGGGGCATGTCTCTGGAACTGGACTACTGGACTTTTCAGATAGGGTTATCATTGAAGATGGAGACAGTCCCAGTAGTTGTCCTCAATGTGGAGCCACTTACTTGTCTTCTACTGCTGCCAATGGCAAGTTGGTGATTGACAACAAAGCCATCAAAGCACAATCAAAGGACAAGTTAGATCAGCTCAAACAATTCACAGAACCAAGCTATGAACAGTTCTTGATGGCCAATCCAGGTCAAGAACACTACACACTTTGGCACTATCTCACTCAAACCTATCACAAGGATTGTCGACATGTGGTCGATATTGGAACCAGATATGCAGCCTCGGCACTGGCGCTTGGTGCTGCTGGAGCAAAGGTCCGAACCTTTGATATCCCCAATGGCAATGAACGCTTCCAAGCATTTCGAGGCAAGTCAGAACAAGAGTGGAAACAACAGCTGCAAGAACATCATGGAGTGCATATTGAGTTTTTCAATCTTGACCTATTGAAAATACCCGATGAAGAATTCTTGCAGCACATGGCCACCTGGCTCATCATATTGGATACAGCCCATGAGCCTGATTCAAATCCCTTTGAGAGAGAGTTTCTGCATCGGCTGGTTCATTTGCCAAAACCCTTCAAGGGTTTGGTACTATTGGATGATATCAATCTTAATGATGAAATGAAACGATGGTGGAAGGAAGTCAGCGAAAACGCTTACCAATGGGGATACCGTGCTTATAATTTGACATCTGTGGGACATTTCTCTGGAACTGGCCTGTTGGACTTTTCAGATAGGGTTATCATTGAAGCTGGAGACAGGTAATGATAGTTGGAATATATCTTGATTTGCCTGTGTCTAGAATTTGCTAGCTCGATGATACCTTTGCAAGAAGACGCATGGATACCCCCACTTCACAGTATACACCTCCAACCTGAACAAGGGCTATTTACAGATGCTTGTACAACATAGCCAATGCAAACAATTCCACCTTCACAGCACAATGTAACTAGCTAGACCTTCACAAGACGAAGGAGCACGTCTGGAGGGCACACAGCCTAATTGACCTGTCTTCTTCCATGACAAAGAACAGACAATGTGTACACAATGGAAATACAAGCTTCCACTCAAAGTGTACGCAACCAATGGAAAGGTAAGACTAGCCTACGTCAAATGTAGGGGAGCTTGCAAGGAGAGCCAATGTATTCAAGAACTCAAAGTTTCTACCTTTTTAACATTCTCTCTGACAGTGGCGGCGAGTGATGCCTGATGTTGGAAGTCTTTCTAAATGGTATGATCTAGCGGCCTCAGTTGGCTAGCGAGAGCACCGAGCTCCCTCCATTCCCTAGGTGTTTTGTGGAGCATGACTGTCTAGCTCAACAGAAGCCCAATTCACGACCATTACTACTGCGAATCATTCGGAAGCTGTCCATGAGATCCTGCAGCTCTTCCTGAGCTTCGGCCATCCGTCGCGCGTCTCGGGCCACTCGAAGTTCCAACTGTTTCATCTCACTTCTGTCAACTTTGGGAAACAACTGTTCTTGTTCCAATGAACGGAAAGAATCATGGTCACACTCCATTAGCACTGCTGGATCTCTTGCTTCTTCAAATGCATCTGGCGACACTTTAAGGAGGTACATGGCAACATCCTCGGCATTCGTAAGGACGGCAAGATGAAGTGGCAAATGGCCCTTGCTATCGCGAATATTCACGGCCTCAGGGTACAACCGCACGATATCAACGACAATCGATAGAGGTGCCAAATGGGAAATGGCAGCATGGAGGGGCAGCTGTCGGACGCGTTCCCGACTGAAGCTGTCGAGGTAGGTGGATTCTTTCCGAGCTTGGAGGTAGGCTGGGCTTGTAGAATCTTCGTAGTCATCAGATTTCCATGTCCCTGAAATGAAGTAGTGTCGAATGTCCGTCCAGGCACACTTCAAGATTGCTTGAAAGAGTGGCTCTGACCTGGAATGTTTCGACTTGCATGCCAAAGTGGCCATGGACAAACCTTTCTTTGATTTTCTGACCATGGTGACCATGCAGGTAGCCAGAGTCTTGCTGAGGCGATGTCGTCTCGTATTATGGATCATCGGCAAAGAACAAGAGCTGTAAGCAAAGAGATTTTGTGAGTGCTCTAGCTTGGCTACTGTCACGTTATGATACACCGTACAACCCCTTTTATGCCTTGCCCAGCAAAGCGTTTTATTGTTGGTCTCCGAAGAGCAAAAAATGAAGGAGCTCCATTCCAACGGCGGACAACCAAATTGTGAGAGTTTGTTTTAGTCCAGTGAATCAATTCAAGTCAATCAAATCACGAGTTGAGTCCAATGAGTCAACGCAACGCAACGCGCAAAGAAGAGTTCACGAACAGAACAGTCATTTCTTCGTGGAATGGAGGGTCATAAATGTGTCTCATGGGACATTCTGGGTTACTTTTCCCTATGCAAGCTACAGCCAAGATTTGGCGGTTGCGCTCCCATTAAAATAGGAAGGTAGTTGAGGTAAAACAGAACTAACTGTTTCCCATACCGGTACGTCTCCCTTTGATATTAAGATACAGTCTACCGTGCCGGTATAATGCCCTGCAATCTTGACTTCGGTTGTGGGCATGATCCTTTCACAAATAATAGAATCGAATCAGACCTATTGTCTGTGCAGTTGACGTTGGCATCTGGGTATACCGGTAGACTCCGCAGTCTTGAATAATATCCTGATAGTCCCACCATTTGCATCTCTGTCCACAAGAGAACTTCGGTTTCAGGAGCTCCCCACCGTTGATGTTAGTGCTGAATGCTGTGAAAGAATAGTTGAATTGACCAGACTGTCTAGTTCCTGCTCACTGCAGAAGATACTGTAGTCCTGCTTGGGTAGGTCTCTCACACCGCTTCAGCTACAGTATGCCTTTGTACGTCACCAAAGGATACCTCTGCCATGAAAGTGGTTCTAGCAAATTTGAAGGTTGCTTGTCCTGAATGGCCCACTGAAGATATTCCATGAGATGGAACAATTTCATGGCACCAGGTACTGATATCACTTTCCTTGCTGGAGGCACGAAGATAGACTACTACTAGTAAACTGATGTTTAGTACTTTGGATAGGCTGATGGTGTTGAATGCAGCGGTGGAGTTTTGCGGGCAAATGCTTTGCCATCATTCAGGAAATATCTTATAAACAAGGTAAGAGGGTAGGGCTACCTGATATCACCACTGGAGGGTGTAATCTTCGCCAGGTTGTGGTTCCCGAGCTAAAAGCAGCCGCAACAACATCCAACCAGCTAGCACATCCCACTTCTCGTGCAAGCAAAAGCAAAACGATAGAGCTATCCCATCGTCCGCGCCTTTGTGCTGGTATCGTATCGTCGAAACAGAGGTCTCAACAAGTTTGCGAACAATCAGAGCAGCAGTTGTTAAGAAGAAGCATTCCTCGACAAACAGAAGGAAAGAAACCATGATGTTCTCGTCTCAACTGATCGTTCAATTCTTGGCTTTCACAGCCCTTACCACCAGCGTTACTTCGGAATTCTTCGTCAAGGAGAAAGATGTAGTCAAGGGCATGGATCCCAGTTGTCCTACCGTAAGGCACTACACAGCTGCGTACCACGAGGACAATGCCTGTGATCGAGCCCGGCAGAACCTCTACAAGGAATCCTTGAACCGCGTATCTATCTACCACAGACTGAATGAAGGCGGAACCAACACGGTCCCCTCCAAGCGTACCAGCTTCTGCCCTCAGGTTGTTTCGCCCATGACCAACTCTGAGGCTCAAACTGGCTTTGACACTGTCTGGCTGCTGGAGAACACTGCCTCGACTCCCGTGGTGGTCGGGTACATGATGGCCCAGGCTGACGGAACCTTTAAAGAAGTCAGTGCTTTCAACAACAAGATCTCTCCTCCCAACCACGATCCACAAGCTATCTTGGCTACTGGTGCGTGGAAGTCTCTGCAGACTTACGAAGGACACGTCTTTCATATTCGCGAAATCAACAAAGATGGCTCAATGGGTATTGTGTTGATGCAACACCGTGTCGGTCTTGTGGGCGTCAAGAACAAGTATGGGCATCAACTGCAATGTGATCCCAACGAACCAGATGAGGAACCCGTGGTCGAAGTGGCTCCTGGAAAGACCGACCGCGACCCCAACTACGCCCGAGAAGCCCCTCGTGCCATGCGTCCCTGCAATACCTTGGATATCGGATTCCGCAATGAAGTGGGTTGCCCACTCAACGCGTACTACACGGGAATGTATTCCCTCAAGGGGGCTGCCAAGCCTCGTGGAAATCTGCGAATTGGAGACTATTCCAACGGAGAAGGACACACAGGCAAATCGTGCCATGAAGTCTTCAAATTTGTAAGTTCGAAACAGACATTGCCTGCAGCATACGGTATTGGATATGATTAGTTACCATAAGATGTTCTCACAATCGCTTGCCCTCATCTTTTTTCAAATACTAGCACCTTGGACTCCATGAGAAGACTCAACAAAACTTCATGTTCGACTGGAACAGTAAGACGAAATACGAGGCAACCTATGTGGGCCACAACTTTGTCTTCCGCTTGGCCAAAGATGAACGTATCGTGGTGGATTCCATCTCCCTGCACCCCACACGAGTCATTGACTGCCCTGGACTCAAGAACCAAATCAACGTTGCCAGCATGGCAGAGGCAGAGGCCATCATCTCCCCTATTGGTCTCCGGAACCGTGATGACATGCTGGTCTCGCAAATGATGGTCAAGAACTTGAACACCACAGAAACCATGAATGCCACCGAATGGGTTCAAGAACAAGCCGCACAAGCCGCAACTCCTGTTGACAGCCGTCGTCGCCGTCGGGCTCGTGTTACTACCGGTGCCTATGCAAGCTCGGTCTAAGTGCATAGGAGCGGCAGCACCTTCGGTAGTAGCTACACATGGTAGGATCAATTCGATACGATTCCGTTCCATCCGCTCGGGTAGTTCTATTATTCTAACGTGAGATTGGATCATGTTGTACAATGTCATGCTACACGGAACAAAAGGGGGCTCAGGAGATTCGAGCAACACGACCCCCCCCCCCCCAAAAAAAAGAAACAAATCACAAACAAACAAAAATTCAGCGAGAAACTTCATGCTTAGTATAGGGCCGGTTCAGTTTTGCCTGTCTCGATTCGTTTCCGTCGTCTGGCAAACGAAACCAGCAAACGAACTGTAATAGACACAAAAACATACCTTTACAGAGAGGCCGGGGTTTTGCTAGTATACTAATAGTAGTTAGTCACTAGCCGGCTAGCTATTGCTGCAAAGGTTGGTTGCGAAACGTATTGGTTACGTTTGAGGATAGTTCGAGTGGATCCAGCAAGACACACTACCAGTACCTGGTACTGGGAGGAGCAGGAAAACGCATTACACAGCTACAACACCACTACATCATTGTTACTTGATACTAGTATCTCTTATTCTTTCTACAAGGGTATTCAACAGCTACCCTTTTTGGTTACATGAGCACTCAACAAGTTGCTCCTAGATTGGTTGGTTGTTGTAGTTGTTTACAGTGTGCCTAACACACATCAAAGCCATGGCTGTTGTTGAGTTTGTCTAGTGATGAGGGGTCAGGTTGTTGTATTCAATATCACCCTTCTTCTTGCCCTTGGCATGCCTCTTCCTCATGACAAAGGATTGAGCTACCCTTTTCTTCCTTTTCTCAGCCAAGTCAACATGGCAGAACAATGCACCAGACTCAAAGCTGGGGAAGGTCACATTGAGGGTAGAGGGATCAACTGGAAATGGCAGCTCCATAGTGAATTCTGAAATGACATCACCCCTGACATCAAGGATGGACCTGACATACTGCTGCATGGCATGACGCCTCACATTGGTATCCTCTAGGTTTTCCTTTGTGTGTTGTTGATAGAGATAATAGAACTCCCCAATATCCAAGAGGTCTTGGTGCCACTTCTCACTGATTGTTAGCTTCTTGCCATTCGCAGAGACCATGGTTTCGATGTCGGCTTCAGTCGCGCCACTGCTGAGCCACACAATGATAGTCACATGGCGAATGCCATGTTCATTCTCCCATTCCTTGACCATCCTCTTCGGCTTCCAAGTAGTGGGGCCATCCTCATCAGCAACATCATCCTCATCATCGTTGTCAGCTATGGAAGGAAGCTGCGCAACTGCAGGAGGCCTGGCTGCCACGACAGGTACTTGGTTGCGAGGAACAAAGCTGGGAAGAATGGGTAGTGGTCCATCATCATCTTGTGGTGGTTGTGGTCCTCTGAGAGCAACACCGGCAGCCATTCCTCTGGCTTTGATGAACTGAGAGCGAAACTGGTTTGTGGAGTACTTCTGGAATCGCTCATGCATGGCTCTCACAGCGGCGGGTTGTTCATCAGCCCTACAGGTAAGCCGAACATAACTACTAGATCTATTCTTCGACTTTTCTGTTATCTTCAACTTTCTCACAAAATTGACTTTCGCTCATCAACCACAATGCAGATAACAGCTGATACCATTATCAGAACGGCTTCCAACTACCAAGGGCTTACAGCCAGAGCAGTCGACCATGAGACATACCGGTACAATCGGACATTTCGGGGCTGTTTTGGTTTGGCTCCTCATCTTGCGGCAGAACTGTGGAACATGCTGGAGGATGAAGATCCCCTCAGTGACATTCGATGGGTAACCTACTTTCTGGTCACACTCATGTTCCTGAGAACTTACACTGTCACCGCTGTATTGGCCATGATCTTCATGAAGGATGAAAAGACAATTCGCCATTGGGTGTGGGTGTTCATTGAGAAGATCGCTACTCTTGACTTGGTACGTGACAACCAAGCTAGCGCTTTTTCTTTTCTTCATTGCCGTCTTCACAAATACAGAGACCTCATCATGTACATGCTACACTCCACCATCACTGCTGCTCAAGATCAGATGGGAGAACAGACTGATGAATGACAATGGCAGTCGGTGTCTGGTAACTGTTGATGGCACCGACTTTCGCATCCGGGAACCAGGTCCTTTCTCTACTGGCTGGTATACCAAGAAGTTTAATGGTCCTGAATTGAGGTATGAAATTGGTGTATGTATTCAAACTGGATGGATTGTGTGGATCAATGGTCCCTTCCCTTGTGGTGAATGGGTTGATATTGTCATTTCTTTGTCATCTTTGGTCCACATGTTTGAGGGAGATGAGAGAGCTGTGGCTGACAAAGGCAGGGGGTATCCTCAGTTCTTTGACTGCCCATGGCGACACCTTGACAATCAACAACAGACTAGCAGGAAGGCTCTTGCAAGGGCCAGGCACGAATGTGTCAATAGGAGACTCAAGGAATGGAGCTGCCTCCTTCAGAGGTGGCGCCATTCCCTTGATAAACATGGTAAGATGGCCCATGCTGTAGCCAACATTGTCCAGCTCCAAATCATGGACCGGCCAATGTGGCAGGTGGAGTACTATGATAGAGTCGACAATGAGTTTGACTTTGATTATTAAATAGTATGTAGTTACTCTAGTTGCAGCCTCACTATTAGCCATAGCATTGACAGTCAACAACCAACCAGTCTACTCAGGTGTGTAATGCTTGTAATGCGTTTTCCTGCACTTCCCTGGTAACTGCCGGATAAGGACGAGAGTATCCAGCACCTCTGCAGCCGGATCCCGCGGAGGGACGCATCGTGACGAAATCCTTTACTGGGATTGGATTTCAAAGGAGCAAATCGTCGCGGTACAATTGAACATAACGGTACCGTAGCCACGCAAAACCCATCCTGTACCGCCCCTCCTATCATAAAATTGATGCGACCTCAAGATAAAGACTGCTCAGTCTTTATCTTGAGGTCGCACGCATCAATCAATGCATATCTCTCTATGCAACTCTAACTCTATGAAGTCTAATGGTGTGTGGCTTCACTTATCAAGGCAGAAGAGAGCAACGGGGATACCGGTACCAGAAGCGGTGCAGCCTAGAACCAAAACATAACATAAAAAGCAAGAATGAGGCCAGCCCTTCCTGTGCCGTTGAGGTGCCTCGAACAATAAAACACTTAGTGTCCGCCACCACCAGAGTTGTCGTGAATTGATGGATACACCACACCAAGAGTACCCAAAGCAACAAAGAAATTACCCATCCATCCAAGTTTTCCAGGCAAGTCTCCCACACCAAGGACGAAGGCAATCAGAGTTGCAATCATAGGCTCCAACAGGGTTGCAACTGCAATGATGATATTGTCGAAGTGTGCCATGGCCCGAACAAAGCCCATAGTCCCAACCACATTGCACACAATGGCCACGTAAAGGATAATAAAGACATGTTGACCCTCAAGAGTCATCCACCCGAAGAGGCCGTTGCGTGGGTCGTTGCCCCACGAAAAGGAAATCCCTGCACAGCAAATGTAAAGGAAACACAGGACAGATCCTGTCAGCACGACCAGAAACATAAAGACCGTGACTGATATATGACTTCGAATGGCTTTGGCAAAGGTGAGATAGCAGACTCCTAGAGCAGCAGACCCAAGTGCCAACAAATCACCGATGATGGCTGTGAATTTGACGTCCTTATCGCCATCTCCGTCGTTGTCATCATCGCTAGCTTCATCACCTGAACACAAAATACAACCAACAAAGGCTATCAAAACTCCTAGCCCCTCTATCATGACGACTCGCTGTCCGGTCAGGAGTTTTCCTAGAACCAAAAGCAAAGCCTGGGAGTTGGCTCCAATGACGGCATTGCCAATCGACGTCATCGTCAAGGCAGTGAAGAGTAACAAGGTATGGAAAAAGAAACAAATAGCTGCCAAGAAGAATGTCACCCTGTTAGTGCACCAAGATAAGAGTTAGGAAGCAATCTGTTGGTCAGGTAGAACAGGCGCCTCAAAAGAAATAGTCACTTACCAGTGGTTCCAACTTAGCTTTGGCAGGAACTGCTTTTCTTCGCTTTGATATTGTTTTATCATGGTCTTGATGGCAAAAAAACTAAGGACTGTGGCCACTGCTGTCATCCTCCAAAAGAGCTTAATGGCAGGATGCACATCATGCAGCAGAGCAAGAGCAGTTCCATTGGAGGAAACTGCTAAAACAGCACTTAATAGGGCCAGGTAACTGCTCAACGTGGCCACAGGTGTTGGCGGTGGTTGTTCTTCTTCTTCATCTTGATCGATTGAGGGCACCAACAAGCTAATGGATTGTCGGCCGACAGCTTCCACAGAGAACTCTTGGATATCTTCGGGTAAAATAGACAGCGATCTTGTCAAGTTCATGTCCAAGAAATAACGATTTCCAAGATCTGCGTCTTCCAGTTCCCGTTTGAAGGCATGTTTTACCATAGTGGCTTCAGTTTGCACGCCTTCAGCGACTGTTTCCATCAACTGTCCAATGGAGGACTTGTGTCGATGGTGTCTCCCACGATGCCTTTCACCACCTGTTGGAATCGTCAGGAGAGACTGGGTTTTTCGGTGGCCTGGAGCGGAGGCTTCATGGTTGGCGTGAGATTCATAATCCTCTGCTGTGAGACCTCGTCCAATTTCACCGCCAAGCATTGGAGATCTCTCCGATCCTTTTTGGTTGTCAGAGGACCGGCTCATGATTTTTCCACGGCTCTGTTTTAATAATGAACTGTGAAAGGCTCTCGGCCCTACCGTATCTATTCAGGTCTGGGGGGGGGGGAGACAAGACGACGTCAAAACCTTCGCAACTGCACGCAAAATCTTGGCAACTCTTCCGGGAAATGGTGCGAAAGGGTGTGAGGCTCCATGGAGTTCTTTCATGGGACTGGTCCAGTCACTGGTCGCACATGCAGCAATGCGTACTGGTGTGCATGCATGCAAGCACTCGGGGTCCAGCTCCATTTGAAATTCCCGCCATGCTACCAAGTACTCGTACTAGCTAGCTAGTACTTGTTGTCAAGGCCATGCCAGTGCTGTGTTTGTATCATTGTAGTTTAGTAGAGTACGGTATATACATGTAGCACTGCATCAACACCATGCATCTTCCAAAGCGTTGCTGCCGTCGAAATTCTCCGGATGAAAAGCACCAAGGAGCACCAAGGAACGAAGTACCGCCTGTCATGTTCCGTGACCATGACAAAAGGGCTGGGAATAGTACCATGGTGCCATACCAGCGCTGTTGACATTGGAAGCACCAAAGCACTGAATGGAAGATGCTGCAAGAGCACAAGTTTACTCTCTAGTTGGAAGGGTACTAGCTAGTACAATCCAGCCATCACAAGCTGTCTACTCACACCACAAAGTCGGGCAAAACTATTCATCACAACATTCCCGCCCAACAAACTCATCCAATCAGCTAAAGGATAAATGCACCCAAATAGCACTGCGATTATCTTCTTCTTTCATTTTCTGGCCAGTGTAGCCATCATGAGCTGTCTTCAAGCAAAACCCCTGCTCATTCATCCACAAGAAACACTGATTCCACTCATCCATCACAACAGCCAAGCATTCCCTCCCAACAAAGCCATCCAAGAAGCAACCCTTCAGTCAGACTTTCCTTCATGAAAAATCACGTCACAAATGAATCAAGGCTATTGCCAGGTTGGTATGGATAGCGTCGGTGCCAACCAGGACAGCACAATAAAGTGGTGGGAAAAGAGACTTTGGTGTTTGTGAACAACTACGACACAACAACTGGAATCGAATACATGAGATAAAGGAGAAATGCACCCAATAACCACTACCATTGCCAACAGTGCGAGCCACCATTATCACTACATCGCTGCAGCTATTGTCAACCGACCACTGGCTAGACCGACAATGTTCCCATGCTGATTAACCAACAACGACAGCAGCAACAACAAAATGCCAGCTAGCTATCATGGAAGTCTATTACTACTGACTGCTACCATAACCATGTAATTGCCCACCACTACTACCACTGCCGACAGCCGAAACTACCATTGCTGAGTACCAACAATTTTTTTATGAATAAAAAATCTTTCTGATACCGGTAGCAGTTGTGGTGAGGAACAGATCTGTGATTGTGGCTGCTGGGATCGAATGACGGCTCACACAAGATCCACCGTTCACAATGCAATGAATAACAGCCTCACCAATCGAATACCCGTTTCTGTATCAGTACAAGCTCATCCGCAGTAGCAGCTGTATACGAGCAATAGCTTTGCTAATTTATCAAGTAGCATTGCTATTATGGAAGGAGGATAGTTGCTCCCATACAAAATAGCATTGTTTGTGTCTGGTTGCTTTGGATCCATAAATTGTTCTCCCACCAATACTAAATCAAGAAAATCGACACAGAAATTACTAACCAAACACTAGGAAATAACAAGGAGGGATTTCCATGGATGGATGCGTGAGTTGTCGTGTACATCGTAGCATTCTCTGGTTGATTGTTGCCATAACTCGACCGGACGATATCTCCTGAGTAGAGGTGCGACCGATCCACTGCCACCGGTCTCTATCCATCTTGCCATTTGTCCAGACACCACATGATTGACATACATCCCGTCTAAGCAATAGCACGAGTCAAAAGTGATGTATGGCGACCGAAGGGCAGTCTGAGCACCATGGATGAGGCAAGATACGTGGAGTGCCATTGCTACCGGAATTGTCGAGTAGCCTCCTTCTGCTGACTGTTGCCATTCAACGATGCTTGATAGCAGAGGTGCGAGGATGCTCGAAACCCATCTTCCAACCGACAATGGCTGGACGCACATCTTCATTCATTCAATTGACGGTCGCGTAAAGGGATCCAAAGCTTCGGTCATGATAGCTTATTCACTCGCACTATCTGCCACTCCCATTATCCACTTGCTAGCTCTCTACGCTCAGTTAAAACACTCTTGTTGACAACAGCACCCTCTGTTAGAGCGGCAACAACTGCCATGAAGGGCAGAGGGCAACAAGCAGCAACAACAACCCACAACTATAAAGAGCAGCAACCAACAACAACCCGCAACAAAGAGGGTCAGCTTTCTGTCTTGTGGTTGATCATTCAAGAAAGCATCTGTCTCTTCAGTGGTGCTTCATGTTTGTAGGGGCGAGTGGTTGATACCCCCTGTTCTGTATGAACAACAATCATTGGCTCCCCCTTTCAGTTATTGGTGCGGTGAAAATCCATTACCAGGTGTAGATCGCCCCACCATTTTCTTCCCGTAGCCTTTTCAAAGCTGTTGGGGTCATAGATGTCATAGACACGTGGTGATGTGTAAGCTTGATACAGGCAAGCTTTACCATTGCTGTGCCAACGTGCCCAAAAGCCACCGGATAAAGATCATCAAAAATGTCTTGGTACTGTTTCTTGGAGTGTGCAGTGCTGCCAAATTTTGGATCATCTAGCCCCTTACAAACCCCTTCATTAAGTCGTGAGGAAACCTCACGGATATACCAGCAAGAGCTGTGTGTTCACCGCGGGCCCAGCTGAGCCCAAGGTGCCTAGACCTCACGGTCGAAAGGTTACTTCGCACCCACAACACATGCAGAATCGCCACACTGCACATACATGCTTCATTTCAAAATACTAGTACTGTACCGTATGATACCTGTAGGTTGATCATGAAAGAAAGAGTGGTACCGACATGTCCAGTTTCAATGCTTTGGTGCCCCCGCAGAACCAGATAGTATACCGAACGTTCCGAATATTCCGGTCGTAAGAATGCTTCCAGGGAAACCTTCGCTGGATGTCTTCCTGCATTAGTTAGTTAGACACACCAGGTCTGACAGCGAATCCACAGCTTTCGCACTACTAAGCAATGCCACACTTGCACTTGATGCCACACGTTTGCGCACGTAGCGTTGCTCCACATCGTCGATTTGGAGTTTTTGGGAATTCGGAATGGGTCTTGACAATCGCTGGATTTTCATGTACTGAACCGCACCTCGCAGGACAAAAATTGTGATGCCACAATTTGCATTTTCTCACTTCGAAACGATGAAGATGATGTTCCCTGTCCCGGTTCTATGTTTCCTCCTCGTTCTGCTGGGCGCAGAGCATCAAGCGCATGCCCTGAACTTTGAAGTGTTGGACACTCCTGTTCTAGACTTCGTATCCAACGCAATGGGAGGTAACGATAATGCCCAAGTTCAAGAAGACATTCAGCGAGCGCAAACCGGAGAGGAAGGTGGTGTCACGCTAGCACAACTTTTGTTTGGTGCAGCGTGCGATACGGGTGGTATACCCGATGGTCTCTGCGGATACTTTGGTGAGAACACCCCGAGAACGGACACTGCTGAGGCCAATGCCCTTCAGGACTTCAATACTGGCAACGCGGAGGAGGAAAAGGCAATTGTGGATGGGCTACTCCTAGGATTCCTCTGTGGTGTAGGTGGTCGTGCACCAACGGCGGCTTGCAATATTGTGGTCGGAAGCGATGGCAACAGCGGCTTGATTCGCACATTTTGCGAAAGTGGGATAGTACCTCAAGGATTCTGCAGCTCTGTCCGTGCTGGCAAAGACGAAGCAGGAGCGCGCAACGAAGATTCTCAGACACAGAACGGGGGAGGACGCAAGAAAGCCCTGCGAGGATAGGTTTCTCCCGAGTTTTCACAAACGGCTGCTCAGGTGTTGTGCATGTTGTTGTGGCAGTGAAATGGTGGCTGCTTTGCTGTATTGGAGCGATTGAGCGGCGGCGTTACGTACATAGTAATTCTATCTATCTGGTATTCACGAGCCAACAATTTATAAGAGCATGTTGTTAGTTGTGTATAAAAACGATTGCGTTCGACGGAAGCCACGGGGAAACTTGTTCCAAAAAGCAAAGCTTTGACAGATGATTTACTACCGGTATCCGCTGGGCGATCAACTGTGCGATTGGAACCGTGGGAGTCGATGGGCGCGAAGGGTTGAATGGAGGAAAGATTTGAATCGAATCGAATCACAATCGCAGCAAGTCACAGAAGAGGTCCAGGCTACCAGTACCGGCACGGTACCACCGCTACGAAGCAAAGGCAACCAACCGAAAGAAGCATCTCCAAGCTTTTCAGCCCATGCGTACCACCTATGAATAGTAGCTAAAATGGGTACAGCAGGACGAAGAATTTGGTGAGTGGAAGTTGACCGTTGTTGAGATCACTATCGTGCTGGTTTTGTAAGCAAAAAGCCGTTGGCCGTTGAACAATGTTTCCACTTGGTACGACGCGCACCGATTCGCTATCCCACCCACTCGATCCTTGCCATTATGCAGGTAACTACGTCGTGACCCAAAGACACCAGTGGCGCACCGTGTGTATGCTGTTGGCATCCATGGCTGCAACCCTAAACCAGGCTGGGATGATATCAATCTCAACTGACAGAGAAACGCTTTGCGTTCTGCGTCAATCAATTCAAACATAGCAAACCGAATGGACGAGATTTTCTTCTTTCGTATCAAACAACAATGAGGAAAATCGTCCAGCATGCGCCGTCGTTGTTGATAGCAGTAGTAGCCGTTTGCTCGCATCTATGGATAGCTTCTGCATTTACAACAGATGCGTTGGTGGGAGGTATTGCATGTGAAGGGTTGATGCCAGAGTACATGTGCGGGGGTCCAGAGTCAATAGCCCATTTATTCGAACTTGTGGATCCCAATCCAGGTGGTGGCAAAGGAAAAGATAAGGATACACCCGCCTCAGCACCGCTTGGCCAAAGAGAATCCAATGCACCAAAAGTTACGAAGGGGCCAAAGGGAACGATGGCGCCAAAAGCCACGGCTGCTCCAAAATCAACAGCCGCGCCAAAATCAACAGCAGCACCCGGAACAGCACCCGACAGGGAAGAGGATGTGTCGGGAGCCACCAAGGCATCGGCAGCTCCAAAAGCCACAGCAGCCCCAAAAGCCACGTCGGCACCAAAAGCCACAGCAGCACCCGGAACAGATACAGGAAGGGAAGAGGCCTTGTCAGGAGCTCCAAAGGCTGCTGGGGCTCCAAAGGCTACCGGGGCCCCCAAAGCAACAGCAGCTCCCAAGGCATCGGCAGCTCCAAAAGCAACAGCAGCACCACAAGCAACATCTGCGCCAAGCACACTTTCAGGTAGGGAAGAAGATCTGAGTGCTGAATCGGATGATGTTGGTCCTGGCAAAGCTTCAGGAGCTCCAAAGGCAACAGGGGCACCCAAAGCAACAGCAGCTCCCAAGGCCTCAGCAGCCCCGAAAGCAACAGCAGCACCACAAGAAACCTCTGCACCAAGTACACTTTCAGGAAGGGAAGAAGATCTGAGTGCTGACTCAGATGATGTTGGTCCTGGCAAAGCTTCAGGAGCTCCAAAGCAACAGGGGCGCCCAAAGCAACAGCAGCTCCCAAGGCCTCGGCAGCCCCAAAAGCAACAGCAGCACCACAAGAAACCTCTGCACCAAGTACACTTTCAGGAAGGGAAGAAGATCTGAGTACTGACTCTGATGATGTTGGTCCTGGCAAAGCTTCAGGAGCTCCAAAGGCAACAGGGGCACCCAAAGCAACAGCAGCTCCCAAGGCATCAGCAGCTCCCAAGGCATCAGCAGCACCACAAGCAACATCTGCACCAAGCATACTTTCAGGAAGGGAAGAAGATCTGAGTCTGATTGGAGGATTTGGTCCTGGCAAAGCTTCAGGAGCTCCAAAGGCACAGGGGCACCCAAAGCAACAGCAGCTCCAAGGCTCAGCGGCCCAAAAGCAACAGCAGCACCACAAGCAACACCTGCGCCAAGTACATTTTCAGGAAGGGAAGAAGATCTGACTACTGTAACCGATGTTGGTCCTGGAAAAGCTTCTCAAGCTCCAAAGGACTCGGGCGAACAAAAAGGTGCACCTGCAGCTGATGTAGGTCTTGGCAAAGCCTCGGCGGCTCCCAAAGCCTCTACAGCACAAAAAGATACTCTGGCGTCTGATGGAGGCAACAGCGAAGAGACTGTGCCTACTGCACCTGCAATTGTCCCCGTTTTGGAAACTGCAGCTCCAACTCCCCTATTTACCGAATGGCCTTCACTAGCCCCAACATCCGATTTCATCATCACGCCAGCAGTTCAAACTCAATCACCAACCGATGCACCTACGGAGGTTGTTGTTGTCGCTTTTACAGCCGCCCCAACAGAGCTACCCTACTCCGGTCTCATGGTGGAAGATCTCGCCGGTGCCATCACCGAGGAACCGGCCGCTGCCCCTCTTGGCTCGCCGGCAGATGATGTTGGTGGAGGTAAAGATAACAAGGACAACAAGGACAAGGGGAAAGATGCTGACAGCGAAGGGGACAGGCAGGAGGATGTGGCATCATTGCTGGGAGAGCCGGCTGTGATTTCGATAGAAGCTGAATCTGAAAAAATTGTGCTAGCAACCGATGAGCCAACAGTTGCACCTACGGAGTCCCCCACGGATTCTCCCGCGATGAAACCAACCGCTGCAGTAACATTCCCTATCGTCCTATTGGTGACGCGTGCACCCTCCGAGTCCCCAACAATTACTACTGGAGCCCCTGTCGTTCCTGAAGCGCTTTTGACAACGGAAACACCAACAGCTCAAGAAACCATGGTGTCGACCGATTCTGCGGATTTAGCTGACGGGTTTGGTGTGATTACAGTATCGCCCACGCACGCAGAAACAAATGGGCTACCGCCAGGATCCTCTCCAGGTTTTGTTACGGCTGTTATAGTCCCTGCAGAACCTGAACAGAGTCCATATATCATCGATGCTATACCCCCATCTATCGCTCCAGTTGTACCGCCCGCAGTGGATGTCGCTGGTGATCAAAAGAACGATGACAAGGGTAACGACGACAACAAAGGTGGAAAGAATGATGAAAAGGCAGAAGACAACAAGGCAGGCGGCGACGGAAACGATGAGAAAGACGATGAGAAAGACGATGAGGATGAGGCATTGGATCAGAAAGAGGGTGGACAAAAGAACGAAGGTGGTGACAACGATGAAGATGTGGATGCAGTGAATCTCCTTGCAGGAAGAGAAGAGGATGTTACGCCATCTGGTGTCACGCCAAAGGAGACGGGTGCAGCCAAGGCCATTGCGGCAGCAAAAGATGCTGGCATTTCTACATCAAGGGCAAGCGATGGAGGCACCAGAAGGCTTAGACGAACCATGTTTATCCGTGGATCAAAATAGCTAAAGTGTGCGCTTTAGAAGGGTTCGTGTCGTTTCTTGGCAAGCAATTAGGCCAGTAAAGTAACAATGCATATTACATACCATATCAAGTAACTACAACCCACGCAAGATTTCAGGTGGTAATACAGACTCTCACGTTGTACAACCAGGAAAGCTGAGACGGGGAAAGACGAGCAAGACCTTCAGCAACCGTTCGCACCAACGAGTATCTTCAGCGGTTGTACTGGCTTCTTTTGAGTCTTCGAAGATCCTGGATCTTGGAGCTTGTCCACCATCTGCAGTTCTCAGCTTCTTCGCACAAAGCCAACCACCGTTACGTTACTGTACATGTAGTCCATTCTGACCCAATAGTAAACTCTTCTTCAAAATCCTTGGCTTAATTTACCCGAAGCAGATAGACGACGATGACGAGGCTAATGGCCGTCCTTGGCGGCTTTCCAATGGCTCTGCAGCTCCTTTTGTGCCTTCATCTGACCACAGGGTTTGTGATCCCTTCTCCATCTTTCGTTATTGGTGTTCCATCATCGGATTGGTGTACCAGTACCATTCTGTGGAGTGCCAAGAGCGATTCGGTTGTGCCAGACGTTATAACAACCAAAGTCCTGGCTCAGCTGTATCCTGCCCTGATGGAACACAAGGCTCAGTATGGAAATCCCAATATCCCCCTGGGTACCTCCGAAGGCCGGCAGTGCAATGTTATTCGAAGAATGCAAGTGCAAGAGAAATTGACAGCGTCGGAGGTTGAGCTCTTGAAGGAATTGGGTTTTATATTTCACGCTCTGGAAGATGTCTATGAGCACGTGGATTTTGAGGAAATGTTTCCTCGGTTAGAGGTATATAAACAACAACACGATGGGAGTGTTGATATACCCAAAAAATATGCTCCTGATCCAGAACTGGGAGCGTGGGTCACTGGTATTCGACGATTAGGCAAAGACCGAGTGGACCCTGATCATGTCAATCGTTTGGATCAGGTTGGATTTGTTTGGGTGTCAACTCGAAAATGTGGCAGCAAGTTCATGGAACAATATAGAAAAATTCAACAACGATTGCAAGACGAAAATGACCCAGCCGTGGTATGGGAGGATGAAGACGTCGTGAAGTTTGTCAGGGCCCAAAAAGAGGCATTCAAACGAAACACACTTAGTGAAACTAGGGTCGAGTACATGACAAGGCTGCTCGGGGAGGAGTGGTGGACAGAGTAGAAGGTAGAAGCCAGTACGGTATAGTCAATGAATCAACCATAGAGAAACGAGGTGATCCGTTTAAAGTTTGTACCAGTAGCAAGAAGTTTTACAGGAGACTGACTGTAATAAGGATGATGGGTGCTGAATATTAATTGGCTGTATAGTTTTATGCATTTTCGTGACTACTCTAAACAATGATAAACAGTGCGCAAGTATGAGCATTTTTGGATAACGATCAAGTGACTGCCGTCAGACGCCTTTAATCATCCCTCGACCTCAAAAATTGACAGTGTCTCTGTCTCTCTCTTCGTCCTCAAACACCGGATGTACTGCAAGCACTTCCCCGCTGCCTCCTGTCAAAATGGAGCGGTTAGATCGAGGAGCGGGAGGCGTGTCGGTAGGCTGAATCACTGTGCCAAGCCATGGAGACTCGAGAACATTTTCCATATCATAACCACCGTAGCTCGAGTCATATCGTTCGCCGGTGTTCAACAACGCATCGTTGCTTGAAACTAGGGTTTCGTTCGTGCCAAAAGGAGCCTCTGGTGGCGAGGAAGGTTTGTTGAAGCTGAATGGATTGGCAAGGGTAAATCTCTTCTTCCTCGGACTGGATGAGAGCGACTTCTGTATCATGCCACCGCCGGCATCTTCTCGGTCCCGGAAAATAGCATCGCCCGTACTTGCTGGTCCAACCACGTTGAATTCTTGACGAGGATCCGTGTCAATTGTCACAGTTGGGCTTTTTCGCATCCCAGCGCCGAGCTTACTCACACGAACGTTGACGGGGCTCAAGGCAGATGCCACTCGCTCCCCACTGCTGTTCGGGCTCACAGAAACGTTGTTTCGTTGTCTAGTGTTGACCGTGTCGAGCAATGATGATTGCGGTCGAGGCTGTTTGTCTTTGTCGTCGTGCGATGTGGAAGGAGACTCGATTCCATCAAATGCCCCCGAGCTTTCGGATGGAGTAAGATTGTTCGCTAGAGATGGAGGCGGCAATTCCTCATTGCTTGTCGTAACTTCCAGTGACGAGGCTTGGAGTATGGAATCGACCAAGCTTCTCCCCCCCGTTTCTTCCCTTGGGCTCCTCCTGGCCTCTAATTTGTCAGGGGATGGTCCGCGCCGGTGCTTTGGTGGCAGTTCATCATTTCTTTTATGTAGCAAATTCTTCAGAGTGTTGTCCACCTCAATCGTCATGAGCGAGGAGTCTACCGACGGTGTCACAGATGAAGACCGCATAGTCGACGCATATGATGACGGGCTGGCAGTCCTTTCAACGGTGTCCAGACTATGCCGAGCAATCGGTGAGGGAGCTGGTGATGGCATTTCAAAGGTTGGCAAGCTTGGTGTAGCAGGGGGGTCTGACGAATAGGAGGAATAGCTAGTGGTGTAGCTCGTTGTCGTGTCCATGCTGATTGGGTCGCGAGAATGACGAGCACTCATTGCTTGTAACGGTGGTGGTAGTTCGGAGAGAAGCGAATTTTCTTCTCCCAAGTCGGGTAAGTAGTCCTCCGACTTGCTGTTATCCTTGCTTTTGCCAGCACAATCAGCCAAGTCATAGCAAGGAAGGAATTCCAAGCTGCTAGCCGCCTCAGTGTCGCTGTCCCTAATGCAATCAGCAGCAACTCCAGTTGGTTGCGGCGTAGCATGTGTTTGAAAGTCATCAGAGGCGCCCTTCTCCAGTTTGTCGACGATGGAGGCCCCGGCCTCGCTGGATTCAACATTTTGAATTTTCGAGAGAGGTGAACCACTCTTTGGAATCTTGGAATCAGGAGGAGCCAGCTTGAGAAATCCAAAGTCGAGGATGGTCAGAAAGGATGGGAGGACCCAGCAGCCAAAAAAATAGGTCACAAACATGACAATGATCAATGGTCGGAAGAAGAAACGAGTGTTGAACTCGAATGAAGTCATTGCCAAGCAAAGTACCCTAAATTTGAATTGCCAAATTTGTTAGTTTCAGCCTGCAATCGCACCTAGCGCAGGCCACACGGTTGCTGGGTTGCTGGAGATCTTACCCCAGAGTACTGCTTCCGAATGATAGGAATGTTGGCAGCATAAGAAAGGACATGGTTTGCTCCACTCTTTCCAGCGCTGAATCCCGGTCGCTTCGAAACCATCTGTCAATGATGTGAACGCTGTATTCAACTGCGAATCCCACGCTCAGAACAAAGCTCATGATTGAAAATGCTGTGAGGCTCACCCCAGACAGGATGCTAATCCCAACCACAGCCACAAGACAAAAGAAGCAGTTGCCTGGAGCAGGAAGTGTGAGAGATTTGCAAGGTACGTGTAAGCGCTGGCGTAATTGTGCACATCGTTTTCGCTCACCTCCAATAACCAAGGCGCCAACAAGACCAGCCGACAGGACCTTGACTGCACTGTTTCTCCCATCATGGCACTGCTTCAAGACGAAAAAGAACAGTGAAATACCAAAACCAATGAACACGGAAGCCCCAGCTATCTCCACCAGGTTCATCTGGATCCCTTCATATTGGCTCCAGAAGTCAAAAGGCGCACCAGACATCCAACAGTGCAGGTCGGGGTCTTGGTCGCAGACAGCTCGAGTTTGCATCATCATTTCCAGCGTCAATTCATGCGAGACCACGTCTCTCGCTGTCATAGGGGGTCCAGCAGAGAATGGAATAGGGAACTTAACCATGAAATCGTGACAGGACTCTCCCTCGCATTCAATTTCTTGGTCCACCACCAAGTTGCCTGCTCCTCCCGACGAAATCTCGTACCAGCTACGAAGACAAAACTCGGTTTTGGCCTGAGACCATCCTTCGAAAACGGGGCACCACGTGCTGTTGTCCGCCACAGTAATGCCCAGCGACAACAGATCATCAGGGTGGAGCTCAGAAGCTCGACGGCAGATCCCACCATCATAGGGCTGGCACTGCTCGTCACTCGCGGACTCGTACTTTGTCCGCAAGCCGTGTGTGTTGCGTTTCCATGTCCCTGCGCAGGTTGAGCCCTGCTGAAAAACTTGGTCTCGGCCGCATTTCCTGTCTTCCGCGGCTAGATTGTAGTCACAGAGACGGGAAGACCAGAAACCAAATTCTGCAATCCACAGCATTCTGGTGTCAATTTCAACTATGTGAGGAGTGCTGATCACCCTTTCAAATTGTTGCACCATCCGCATCTGAACGTCAGGGTCTGTATAGTCAATATCGGGCCAGTTCATATTGATCACCCAAGATCCAAGAATATCTGTGCGGGCTGAAGCCCACAGGTGCCCTTGATGGTCTGAAGGCAGAAAATCCTGCAGATATCAAGGCTGTGAGTAGCAGGAAACCCATGGATTCGCTTCACTTTCAAACCGGCTCCAACGAGCCCAAACGTACCTCGAGACCAAGTCCAACCGTTGCGCGGCTGATGCCAAATAATCCGAGCGCAAGAAGAAGGGCAGCTACCCCCCAAATTATCGAGTGCGTGATAATGCGGATAAAGGGTTCCCCAAACAGCAAAGGCTTGTAGAATCGGTCATATAGGAGCGTGTCGAGATAATGCTGTCCTCTTGATTCCTCGGATTCTTCAGTCCTCTCTATCACCCGCCAACAGAGAAGATCCCTTCGATTTCCGTTTTGACGTTTCATGTCCAGGTACGCATATGCCGGAAAACAGAATATGACTGCCAGGTAAAGGAAGACTATCGAGAACACCGCCACTTGCGCTGTGAGGTATACAGCTGGAATCGAATTGATATTCATGACGAGGAACTGAGAACCCAGACGAACCAAATGCGTCAGTACAAAAGACATTATTTGATACACACACGCAGGAAGCCGACATGTGAATAGGTACCTACCATGCTTGCATTGACCAAGGAGGTCATGGTTATTGGTACAAAGACCTCCTTCATTCCATTGCAGAAGCTCTCAGTCGAGTAGTCGCCTTGCTTTTGCAAAGACAAAAGAATGATGTACAGATTGTCCACTCCAAGACCCAGAATGACAAAAGGGAGAGTCCAGGCGATTGTCAAGTTCACCTTGATGCCGATAAGTATGCCCAGGCCGACGGATGCAAAGAAGGCGAGCATGACAAGAATGATGCCGACGAGGGTGATGCCAATTCTCGACTTGACAGGGTCTCTACTTGCAAGGAAGATCACTATTTATGGGTGATGGGGCGTAGAGGGATCTCGTAAGATGGCGATACTGCACTGTCGACCAGCTTGTTGCCTATGCAAGTGTGCTTGACTTACCTGAGAATGAAGCGATGATGAGGATGGAGACTGCTGTAAGCAACCCACTGCTCATTGTCACACTATTGAGGAAAGTAGCAAGGGTGCCAGGGACCCCTGCATCATCGAAGAAACCAACGAATTGGACGTTGCCACTGTTGTCATCATCCCATCCATCAGTCCATTGGCTTTCAAAGGATTGTTTGAAAAGAGCCAGCACTTCAGCAGCATCCTCTTCGGTAATGTTGAGGGGGCCACCGGGGCGATTCTCGTGGCTCACTCGTTCCGTGATTCCCTTTCCAACAAGAGTCACATACACTGTTTGAAGCAGTCCTACATGCTGTAGTGGGTTGTCAAATGAGTAGTCTCCGATAGGGGGGTATGCATCTCCAATGAGGGGAGTCCTATCTACTACGCCGATTTCCGCGGACTCATCAATGTTGTAGAGGTAGCTAGATGCATTTTGCAGGATGGTATCTTCTGATTGGCCAGTATAGGAGAATCTGGAACCTCCAAGTTCATATCCACATCCCAATCCACTTGTCCAGCTGTAGGGATCACTCTCTCCTTGCCTGATGTTTAGGAAATAGGGTGATTCAATCAACATTGAAAACCACATTCGGGCGAAATGTTGTCGAGTTTCCGTTCCGTCTTCTTCAAATGGTGTGTGGTACTTGGTACAAAGAAGCTGGGAGTAATCTTTCACCAGGAGTCTCGATGCGGAGTCAATGATGGCATCCGAGGCATTGGTCCCTGGCAAAAACCCGTTACCACAGTCTTTAGTTGTGTGTTGGTATGTATGGTAGTAAGCAATGGGGTGAGCGACAGACAAATCATGTTTCTGGCAGATCAAACCAGAGTTCAGGCGTAGTATACTCACGAGCAATCATTGCGTCTTGTCCAGACATAAACCAAGCATACACTGGGTTTGTTTCAACCATCTGTAGGATTCGATTCCAACAGGCGGATCAGAAAAGACGCGGGCAGCATGTAAAAGAAGCATACATTCAGCAAGTACATACCGTTTCCCAGAGATAGTCTTCTCCCAGGGGGTCGACAAAGCCTTCCTGGGTGCGTGCATCGTAAAAGAAAGGACGCCAGTCTCGGCCATTTTGTCGATTCTCCAAGTCCAGATACGTCTTCAAACTATCAAACGGGGCACTCATATTGACCCCTGAGCCACTGACCGGGTAAGTTCCGGCGAACAAGGGTCCGGTTCCATCGGCATTTCCCCAGAAAGGAAATGGCGCTCCAAACGAAACAATGGAGGAAAACCAATTGTCGGCATGGCGGAGAAGAGTCTCTCTTGCATCTTCCAGTGATACTTCTTCTGGAGGGCATACAAGATTCTCGTTGCCACAAAGAATGGATCTATACAAAGGATCATTGATCTCTTCGTACAGCCTTTTGTAATCTGCTGCTCCATCCGCGTATAGACCTCGAAGTGTGTAGTACATGTAAAAGTCTTCCACGTCGTCCGTTGTAACTTGTGTTGCAATTGCTGCGGTGCCCTTAATGAGGGATTCTACATATCTGAGTGTATCCATTCGAACATCCTCTCTTTCCTCCAAGGCAAAGAGAAACCTTCGTAGTTGTTGCGTCAGGGTCGTAAAAGCAGGAATCACATACTCGTTTTTGATTTCTTGAATGTGTCCCTCGGTGTGAGCATCCACACATATTCGACAAGGATCATTCAGTGGCATAGACATGAGGTCTTCCAGGAAATACGCAGCAGATTCAGCGTGATTCTCAGAATACCCCTGCGAGACAGCATACTCCGGATCTGTCCGCAACCGGTATGCGTGATCACAGGATCCATCAGGATTGCCGTTGTCTGCAGCATTGCTGCTGAGGCACTTGTCTGCCACAATACCATAGCGGATTAGCATTGGCTTGACAACCCTACCCTTGATTTCTTGGTACCAGGCCACTCTTTGTTCTTCTGTGAAATACCACCGTGCCTCCTCGAACAAATCCATTGGACTTAGCCGGAGACAAGGCAGTTTGTAGGTTGTTTCTGGTGATAAACCATTTGCAAAGCAAATGTCATCCCATGTGAACTTTATTCCCTTATGGAATACTGGTGTTGTCTCTATGCGTTTCATTCTTTCTACAACAGCATTAAGATTATCTTCGTTAAACAGATTGTCGCCGTCGCGGCTGAGCGACATAGCCATAAAGGTTGACAACTCGTCGCTACCCGCAGCCCCCACACTTTCAGCATAGTCCTTGTCTTGTTTGTAGGTACCATCCATGGGGATCCACAGATTGGAGACATCTTCTTCGATAATGGAAGGACGCGAGAATCCCAGGCAGATCAGGAGCATGAATAAGAAGGGTAGAGTGACAAGGAACGGATAGGGGCACTTTGTCATTGTCACAAACAGCCATGCCCCTGACTCTTCGAACTCTGTGGACCCGCCGTCATCAGCATCATCGTGAAGGCCGCTTTCAGAGCTAGTTGGGCTATCTGGCTTTCGAGACTTCATTCTCATCTCGGGGTGTGTGCTTTTGTCCTGTCTGCTTCTAATACTTCCATGCAAGCTCTTGGTAGTTGCTTTTCGTTTCGAAGGTCGATTTCACCACGGAGCTTCACCGGCAAAACAACGATGAGGATCGATGGACTTGAACCAGTAAAACGAGCGGGAAATCCGTGCTCTCCTCGACAACACGCAAGCCCCCGTCGATAGTGACAATCTCCCATAGTAGATCGGTTCCAATAACCGGTGAATGCTGGCTGTCACCCCCGTCAGTCACTCAACCGACGCGGTCCCCGATAGTAGCATGGGGACATCACTTTTCTGCTCTGGCGCCACTTTATCTTCTTTTTCTTTCTCTCTTCCGAATTTCCCTCGAAACCTGAGGATCCAAGGTTGGCTGCTAGTATACCGGTACTAGCTAGTAGAGCTTTCTAGATGGTAAAAACCTACTAGAAACAAAGCTGGGAGTAGAGCGCTTGACATGCTGCCAATTGGATCTTCTTCTTACCAACACTAGCTAGCTACCGGTAGCTACTGTAGCTAGCAAAGAGGCAACCTCAAGACTGAGCCATACAAATTGGGTAGAGCCAATCAGACTCATATTCCAGACACTTCGTCATGGTTTATTCCCCCAAACAGAACAAAGAAGTCCTAAGAAAAAGCATCAAAGTGATCATCCTATGTCAAGTCCACCACACTGCAGCCTTCGCACAACATCGGAACGACGGAACGACTTGAATACCCTGGGAACAAATGAGGAGCTGTTTGATTTTTCGCAGCTCTGCCGGTTTTTATTACTAGTCAATAAGGCTTTGAAACATGTTTTATGTCCTTGGGAGAACAGCATCTTCCTTAAGTATCCGATATCCATCACTTGGCTCTTGGCTCCCACGCTCCCACGGCCATCAGATTTCGGTCCACCTGCTATCATCCATCCTACCGGAATTCTTGTTGCTGGCCGTTAGTTGATGATGATGAACAACCCAATGGAGTCCTTCTTCCTCTGTCTCGTAGTATTATTAGTCTCGATCCAGACTGCCGAGGCATGGATACCTTCCACCAACAAGCCTGCGTCTACTGCTGGGCAGGATCCCACCACGGCTAGTTTCAGCAGTCGATTTGACGAATTGGTCTCCCTTGATACGGGGACGGAAACTCCAGCAGCAGTGGATGAGCGTTACTATTCTGTCCCTCCGACTCAGCCTCAGCTATTGGTGAATACCAAACCGCGGATCACGTTGACAAGATTTCTGAGTAATATCGTCAAGGAAGATCCTGAGGTTCGTCATACTGAATTTCGCTTGCTGACGTTACGTCTTAGCGTCTGATTTCCTCCTCGTGTGTAATGCATGTACTCACCCATCGATGTGCTTTTTTTCAATTGGTCTCTACTATTGTGCCAGGCCCGTGATATGGAATCCTTGCTCTTGTCCATCCAAATGGCCTGCAAAACTATTAGCAATCTGGTCAATCGGGCTGGTTTGGCCAACGATCTGGGAGAACAGAACAGTGATTATTCCGATGGACGATTTTACAGCATGAAACGATTGGATTTGCTCTCCACCATTGTGTTGAAGAATGCCTTGCAATTTACGGGGAAATGTGAATGTGTGGCTCCCGGACCAAAGGTCGACACCGAATCGCCTGCGGAACATCAACCAGGAGTCCTCATTGCCAGTGCCTTGGATTCCAACTACGTGGTAAGATTCGGTATGGGCAGAGGATCGACTCTTTGTCCCAAGTGTTCTAACACCTCATGTCTTTACCAAATGATATCATATATAGACTGTACTGGATCCTCTGGATGGCAGTGGCAACGCCGATGCTTCCATTTGTACGGCAACGGTGTTTGGGGTATTTGAACAACCCAATGATGAGGAAGACGGGGAAGCCACCACAGCAACAAGTGTTGACGACAATGAGAAACTGGTTCAAAGCGTTCTACAACCTGCCAAGAACATGAAAGCTGCAGGATATTGCTTGTACAGCAGTGCCACAGTTCTGGTCTTTACGCTGGACCAAGGCGGTGTCTATGGTTTCACCCTCGATCCGCAACTGCAAGAGTTCGTTTTGACACACCGGGATTTGAGCATTCCGAAACGAGGAAACGTTTATTCTTGCAATGAGGCAAACAGTGAAGGATGGGCAGACGATTGGAAGTCCTACGTAAAGAGTCTCAAATTAGGTCAAGGAGAAACCAAGAAACCATACGCACTACGTTATGTTGGAAGCATGGTGGGGGATATTCACAGGACTTTGCTGTACGGAGGCATATTTGCCTACCCAAGTGATTCTTTGAGACATCCTGATGGCAATCTACAATTGTTGTACAAAACAGCGCCCATGGCCTATGTAGTCCACCGAGCAGGCGGCAAAGCGATCGACGGGAGAACTGGAAGTCTTCTGGAAGTGACACCTGAGCGAGTGCATCAAAAATCGCCATGTTTCATGGGCAGCCCAGAAGATGTGGAAGAGTTTGAGAAATACCTGCAGCAGTGATGTTTGTCCCATCAGCCACGAACGCTCGAGTCGGTGTCTTCTGACGCTGATCAGAACATTCGGTTGCTCGAACGAGTTCAGAAGCAGGAAATGATGGAGCTCACGACGAAGGTGTAGTTGATAGGATTATTCTACTACCAGTACGATATAGCTACGACAACCAGTAGTGAGAAGACAGGTGTGGTGTTCCATTTGTATTATATTGAACTACAACTAAGGATGCAAAGTCCTTTGTAAACATAAAGTATCGGTGGTGGTGGTGGACACCAGGCCATTGCTAAACGTGGATACAAGCGTCGGCCTTCAACATTCAACCTCGCTTGTGATGTCCTCTAGGAGGGAGGGAGCTTTGCCGTTGTCAGAATCCTCTTGGTCGGAGAGACGATGGATGTCGGTTGGTTCAGGAAGACCTTGCTTTTCTGCGATTGGCTGCTCTTGTGGGCGAACCTCTTCACTTTCACCACCCAGTTTCACAAATTCAAAATCGAGAATGGAGAGAAATGCAGGCAGCCACCAGCATCCGAAATAGTATGTCACGGGCATCACGATGATGAGAGGCCGGAAATAAAACACCTGGGTGAAACTGAACTCGGTCTGACTCAACGTAGCAACACTGAGGTGGAAGAATGTGGTTAGATACGGAGATGCCAAACTTGCGTGGAGGAATGACAGATGCAGATCTTACCCAATGCAACTAGACATGAACGACATAAAGGTAGGCAGAGTAAGGAAAGCCATTGCATAATCCACCCTATCCGAAGCGCTCTGGATGGAGTTTGGAGCATGGAGCCACCGGGAAACAACGTGGACAGCATACTCTACGCTGAAGCCGACGCTCAAAACAAAGCTCATGATGGAGAAGCCCGTGATGCTAACCCCAGCCAATATAGACAGACCAATCACAGAGACAAGGCTCAAGATCATGACTGCGGTGATGAGCAATGCTCCAGCCAAGCTCCCTCCAACATTTTGCGCAAGGCTTCGGTTGCCGCCTTGCCTTGTGTGTTGTGCCAATAGGAACAAGACCGCTACGACGAAGCCGACACAAACCGACCAGGCGGAGATCTCAACCAGCACGCTAAAAATGCCAATGTACTGAGACCAATAATTGTAGGGGATGCCTGGTGAGATCGAGAACAAGCAATGTGTGAGCATCTTTAGGATTACATGCATATACAGTGTCCACAATCTTGTCACTTACCGGTAAGCCAGCAATGAAGTTCTTTGTCGTCGTCGCAGATTGCTCTTGTTTCCTCAATGACTGTGGTAGTGATCTCGTGGGAGAGCAGGTTGAAGCTGAACATCGTTGGTCCAGTGGAATAAGGGATAGGTGTTTTGATTTCTTCGTTGCTGTAATACTCCCCTTGACACTGAGTTGGACTTCCGTGCTCATCTTCAAGGATAAGACCACCCCCTCCTCCTGCGAGAAATCTCCATTGCTTGATGCAGAATCTAAGCTTGTCATCCGACCAGCCCTCCATTACTGGGCACCAAACTTCATTTTGATCTTGAGCCGACATGTTTATTCCAAGGTCGATGAGGTCTGCAAAGTGCATTTTAGAAGTTGGGCGGCAGATGCCTCCTTCATACGCATTGCACTGTCCCTTCATGTCATTAAAGATCTTTTGACGCAGCCCGAATGCATTGCGTTTCCATGTTCCAGCGCACGTGGAATTGTCCACAGGCCACACCTGGTCACGTCCACACATCTTGATGCTGGGGTTGCTTCGCGCGACATTTGCATCGCACATCCGTGAAGTCCAAATCGCTAGGTCGGCAATCCAGAGCTGCTTGGTGTCGACATCAGCGACGTTTGGATGCGCAATGACATCTTCGAACTGTTTGATCATTTTCATTTGAGTTTCAGGCTCTGTATAGGTCAAAGCGCCCCAATTCTAGCCAAGGAATGGTACATGTGAAGCTTGGTTAGTCACAAATGCCAAGCTGGTGAGAAGGGACGCGGGCATAAGTAGCTCACTTACCATGCCAATTGACCAGGACCCCAGGCTTTCAGTCCTCTTACTCGCCCACTGCTGCGCCTGATGATCGTGCGGGAAGAAATCCTCCAGTCCAAGCCCGACTTCTCGCTCGGTAATGCCGTAGATGGACACTCCCACTAGACCGGCTGCGACCGCCCAGATGAGCAGGTGCGATACGATTCGAATTGTTGAGTTGCCCAAGACAAGGGGTTTGAACAGCTTGTCGTACAGGAGAGTCGAGAGCCAAGTTCCGACGCACTTGTTTCCAGAATCCTCGTTGCTCCTTTCGCCCGCTTTGGTGCAACAGAACACATCCCGCGTTCCAGCCGCTTGCCTCTTCATATCAAGGAAGCAGTATGCGCTGAAGCAAAAGATGATCGATAGGTAGAGGAACACAACCGCAATCAATGCCACTCTTGCAGTGAGATTCACCGCGGGAACATCCGAGATGTTCATAATGGCAAACTGGGGAGAGAAGACGACAATCTGTCAGTGTTGCCAAGTTACAAGTGAGATGTTCGCTCAGGGAACACCACAACATACCATACTGGCATTGACAAGCGATGTCATTGTCACGGGCACCACAACTTCTTGCATTCCACGTAAAAAGCTGTCTTCGGAATGTCCCTTTTGGCTCTCCTTCTTGAGCGCCAAGAGCACAATGTACATGTCATCGACACCAAGTCCCAAGAGGATGAAGGGAAGAGTCCACGCTGTTGCGACGTTTATCTTGATTCCTATCATGATGCTGAAACCAAGGGCTGCAAAGTAAGACAGGACCACTAGGCCACATCCAACCAGCGTCAGTGCAACCTTTGACTCGACCGCATCCAAGGAGAACATGAGGAACACAGAGAAGCAACATATGATCAAAATGCTGATGGTAGTCAACCACCCATTGCTCAATGTGATCTCTTTCAGGAATCGCCCGGTGGTACCGACAACACCAACATCATCGACAAACCCGACAAATTGAACTTCTCCAGCACTTTCATCATCCCAACCTTTTGACCAGATTTCGTCAAATCTTTCCTTGGCCAAGTAGAGGACCTCTTCTGCATCTTCGTCGGTGATGTTGAGCGGTCCTCCTGGTCTGTTGCAATTTGAAACTCGGTTCCTGATGGCCTTTGGTTCTCCCAGTAATGCAAAGAGACTTTGAACAACACCTACTTTTTGAAGGGGATTGGAGAAGTTGTAGTTTCCCACTGGAGGTGTCGCATCGCCAATGAGAAGGTTGCGATCAACGACGCCGACGGACACTCCCTCCTCGATGAAGTAGAGGTTCCCAGAAGCATTTGCAAGCACATCAGCTTCGCTCTGCTCCGTGTAAGAGTAGCGTTCACCGCCGAGGCTGTATCCACAACCCGCTCCCAGTGTCCAAGTATAAGGATCATCGCTGCCTTGGGTGATGCCCAGGAAGCTATCCGAATCCAAAAGGCCGTCATAAAACATGCGAGCGAAATGTTGCTTAGTCCTTGTGGCATCCTCCTCAAATGGCTCGGCATATTTGGTGCACCAGTATTGAGTCAGCTTGTGTACCGCCACAAAGTTTGTAAAGGTATCGAAGGTGCGATCTCCGGTCTCGGAACCTGTCAAGTTTCCGTTGCCACAGTCTGTTCGAATCGGATCAAAAGCAAAGATCAAGTCAATGAGAGGATTGGGAAACATCGAGGATGAGGGTCGGCAACTGGCACTTACGAGCTGTCATTTCTGTCTCGCCCGCCATGAACCAAGCATAAACTGGGTTGGTCTCAACGAGAGGCACCCAATTCGGATCGTTCAATGGGTCAGCATAGCTATTGGCATAGAGCGGGTTCCATGCACTGGTGTTTCGGTAGTTGACAAGATCCAGATATGCCACTGCCGAAAGAGTATCTGCACTCATGTTGACGCCACTGCCACCGACGGGATTGAAACCTTGCAACATGATGCCGCTTCCATCACTCTCGGACCAGGCTGGTAGCGGACTGCCAGCTGTTGTGATGCTCGAGAATGTGTTGTCCGCGTGGTTGCGCAAGGCCTGCTTGGAGTCCTCAAGGGTGATGTTGAACTTGGGGCACGCAGATGTAGAGCAGTCCAATGGTACGGCGTCGGGCGTGATGAGCTGATTGTATGCGGATTGATACGCCTCAGCTCCCAATTCAGCATACGTTGATCGCAAAACCTGATAGTAATAAAAGTCTTCGACAGCTCGTTTGTCAACCTTCTTGGCAATCTTTTCAGCCTTGGTTGCGAGGTCGTCAACTTGAGCCAGTTCTTCCGGATCTGCGAGCGTTTGCTGGAAGCGGCGCAATTCCCGGGCTAGGACGCTGAAGAATGGCACGACCAGCTCATGCTGCAGTTTTTCCATCTTGGCTTCCAGGCTCTCTTCGATACAAATACGGCAGTTGTCACTCAACTCCAGTGATCCCACATCTCCAATGAGGCCCAATGGATTGGCATATTCTCTGGGGTAGCCCATTTGCTCTGCAAAGTCAGGATTGAGGCGAAGACCAGCTTGAACCTTGCATGCATCCGACTGGCCTTCTTCCAAACCCAAGCAGTGCTGTTGCAAGATACCAAAGCGAAGGACGCGTGGACGAATCGCGGCTCCTCGAACTACTCCATGATACCATGTCACTCGGTCAACCTCCTTGAAGTAAGTTCTCGTCTCTTGAAAAAAGTCCATTGGAGACAGACGGGCACATGGGAACTTGTACGTAGTCGAAGTTCCGGCACCCAATCCATTGAGCGTGCAAACATCCTCCCAAGTGAAAACGTTGTCGTTGTAAGTGACCTGTGCAAAAGATCAATTGGTGAGGGAGGCCATGTGTGTGTGGTGTCAAGTGCACCACTCTACAGGATGGAACCTTACCGTCAAGTTCTCAATGGCGTCCATTCGCTCGCGGATTTCTTCCAGTCTGTTTTCTTCAAAGAGATTTCCTCCATCTCGAGACATGGCCATTGCTGCAATGGAAGAGGAAGTGAAGGCTTTGACTCCAACGCTCTCCATGTAGTCCTGGTCCTTGGCGAGCTGATCCGTTTGAGGAATCCAAATCTCTCCAACATACTCTTCCACATAGTCCTCACGCGTGAAACCAATCGCTGTGAATGCAGCAAACACAACGGGCACAAGGATACAAAAGAAATATGGTTGACGC